ATAATTAGCTGATCGTCCATCACAGCTCTTCTTGTGAAAAATTAACAGTTATTCTGATTCCCAATGAAAGGTAAAATAAACTTTAGACCTACATGGTTATGGAACACCTCATGCACCTGGGTCTGCTTCTCTCTGTAGCAGACAAACTTTCTTCATCATCATCATCATCCTCTGATGAATCACTAAACTGAGTTTACTGCAGTCGATTGTAAATGGAGGTCAGACTTAATCACCTACAAGCAATAATTAGACACATATCCTAACTTTATCATGTTACTTTCAAGTGTACAATATTAAATATAGGCAGAGAGAAGATGGGGTAGTACACATTGTATTTATTTATTTAAAAATTTATTTATTTTTTGGGGGGGCACATTATTTTCATGTGTTTAAATTAGCTGAATTATGTAATTTATTTGTTAAAGGTAGAGCATAGACCTGACCTTACCTGATTTTACTATGTTTTTATATTTAATCTTTATTTGCTGCCATGTCTGCTTGATACAAGCTGGGTTCACCTACACACACACACACACACACACAAAATATTATGTGAAATAAACACAATAGCTTTCGTTATTTGTTGTTTCTGCAAACTGAGGAGTTATTAGCAATTTGCATTTATAAATTCTCCTGCTCACTTTAAGTGAATTATATGTATCTTTGACTCTACATGTTGCCATCTATTAGGAGCTCCTTCAGTGGTGTCCTGCAGGGTTTACAGTCGTTAACATTAATGGGAAAAGAAATTCAAACATACAGGGCCCTATGTGAGAGCAGCAGCAACTGCAGTCAAGCATTTACAATAACTGGCTGCGCTGAGGAGGAACCTCGGCCCACTCATCTTTGCAGAATTGCTGTAACACAGCCACGTTCCAGGGTTTCTGAGCATAAATCACACAGCATCTCAGTCAGGTTCACTACTGTTCCAAAGCTTTAGAAATGAATTCAGTTACTTTGTTTATCATTTGTTCCAGAGTTTCCTCAGATTTCAGCATGATGTCTAGCTTTTCAGTATCTTTTGGTCTACTTTACTTTGTCAGACATGTACTATTTAAGTGATTTCTTGATTAAGGACAGGTGTGGCAGCAATCAGGTCCAGGTGTGAAATTAAACTCAGCTTTCCAAAGATGTGATAAACCACAGGACGAATTTCCTTTTTCCCTGTAGGTTTAATTTTTCCCTTAATAATAAAGACCTTTGTTTAGAAACCACATTTTATGTTTACTTGTGTTATCTTTGTCTCATATTTAAATGTATTTGATGATCTGAAACAAACATGTAAAAGAATAAGAAACCAGGAAGGCAGCAAACACTTTGACACCACTGTACGAGTCTGTAAATCAAGTGATAAATTATCTAAGCTTGTTATGACTAACTAAAATCAGGTGTGCTCAGCTGGTTTGGTAAACAAAACTAATGTTGTCAGTGTCTGTAATGTTGGTGAGGATGACTTTAATCACCACATGCGGCAGTATGGAGACAATTTACATGAAATCAAATGTCACCAAAGCAAGTGTCTGAGAATCGCTCTAAACTTGAGTTTTCAGATGTAACTTGCTGCTTTCTGACAACACACTCAGTCTGTTAGTTAAGGTGGAATGAGGCAATAAAACTTATTTTATTTGACTCAGGTGACAAAACAGAGGCTGTAAGACATCATATTGTTTTATTGATCAAAACAATTATTTATGTTTTTAYATTTTTTGCTGAATTTAATCAAGCTTTAAAAAAATAATTTGAAAAATGAGAAAAGTCTGAAGAATCGGCTTCTGGTTGTGTAGCTGTCCACAGTTAATTTTGTTGATAAAAATGGCCATAAAGTGAAAAGAGAAATATTTGTGATCATTTAGCAATTATTCTCATTTCCTATTTATTGTTTCAGTCCTGTCTCTACAAACAACCCAAGTTATCTGTCAGACTGRGAACAACGGATTAAAAGGTTTAAAAGTTTTATCATTTCATTTTTCAGGCTTCAGTGATTGTGCTGATCGCAGTGGTCCTTCTTCAGTTTGGCCAGACCCATGAGGAGCTGGTCTCTCCTCTCTCTCCTGCTTGACAGATGCTGCTGGTCACTGGGAATCAGCTCACACATTTCCTGTGCACATCAGTGATAAAAAAAAAACAAACATGAGCTAGGCCCCCAACCCACCTGAGCTCTCGACTACACAACCTATCAGAACGGGATTGGATCACAGTGAAGACACTGAAGCTGCTACACTTTAAAGGGATCCATGATTGGTTGTATTATTAGACTTTATTTGATAGGCATATTTTAACTGTAAAATAAAGACTAAA